GGGTGCTGACTATGATGGACAAATCCATGTGACGGGTGACCTGGTTGCATTCCTGGAGAGATTGGATTCTGAGTTTTTCAAAAGTTTGCAGTGCACTGATCCATACACGAAAGATTATGTTCAGAGGCTCAGGGATGAACCTTTGTTTTTGGTTGTTGCACAGAATGTCCAAGATTACCTGGAACGTGTCGGTAACTTTAAGGCTGAAGCTAAGGTTGCACTGCGTCGTGTTGAATTGGTCTACTACAAACCTCAGGAGGTATATGATGCAATGAGAAAGCTTGCAGAGCAGGATGAAGATAGTAGGGAGGATGATGATGCAGACGCTGACGAGGAGCGTCAAGTAGTTGATGACAATAGGGGCCCTCCACCATTTGTTGTGATCCCTGAGGTCGTGCCTAGGAAGCCTACTTTCCCAGAGAGTGGCAGAGCTTTGATGGATGCGCTGATGTCTGTGATTTACAAATATGGTGATGAAAGGACCAAAGCCCGGGCAATGCTGTGTGACATTTATCACCATGCTATCTCTGATAAATTTTCTGTGGCACGTGACTTGCTTTTAATGAGCCATTTACAAGACGGGGTTCAACTCATGGACATATCATCACAGATTCTGTTCAACAGAGTCATGGCCCAGTTGGGGCTGTGTGCTTTTAGGGCTGGTTTGATAATTGAAGCTCATGGTTGCTTGTCTGAGTTATATTCAACTGGGAGAGTGAAGGAGTTGCTTGCACAAGGTGTGCAACAAAGTCGATACCATGAAAAAACTCCTGAACAGGTTTACTTCTGAACTCCCTGCAATATGCACTTCTTTTATTCTCATGTAAATACCTGCACACATGGCATGTTTGCCTCATGCCTTGCAATAACCTGAGCACCCTTCGTCTCTCTCAGACATATTTGCTGCTTGACCTGTTTGACACAATATGCTACTATATTACATGAAGCAAAACATGCCACTCACACGTGCGACAAGATTAACCCAACAATCTAGTCATAGGAATTTCAAGATATTTTCTGAGGATGTAGTTTATTGCAAATCTGAGTTCATTCTAGTTAGATTTAGTTATTCCTGCATGATAGCCTAAGAGGTATTATATAGAGGCTAATGTTATAATTGCTCTAATTTCTGCAGGAAAGGCTTGAGAGGAGAAGGCAAATGCCTTACCATATGCATATAAACCTTGAACTTTTGGAAGCCACTCACTTGATTTGTGCCATGCTGATTGAGGTCCCCAATATGGCTGCCAGTACTTATGACAGGAGGAAGTCTATGAACAGAACATTCCGTAGGCTTCTTGAGATCAGTGAGAGGCAGACTTTTGTCGGGCCACCAGAAAATGTGAGGGACCATGTAATGGCTGCAACAAGAGCCCTCCGCAAGGGTGACTACCAGAAGGCTTTCGATGTCATTAATTCGCTGGAGATCTGGAAGCTTTTGAGGAACAAGGAGCATGTTCTTGAGATGCTGAAACTTAAGATCAAAGAAGAAGCTCTTAGAACCTATCTCTTGTCATACTCTTCTTGCTACGAGTCCCTGAGCCTTGACCAGCTCACTACAATGTTTGACCTTAGTGAGCAACAAGCTCATAGCATTGTTAGCAAGATGATGATGCATGAAGAGCTTCATGCCAGCTGGGATCAACCAACCAAGTGCATTATTTTCCACAATGTTGATCAAACTAGGCTTCAGGGACTACTCTTCCAGATGTCTGATAAGCTCTCTGTCCTTGTGGAGAGCAATGAGAGGGCATATGAGGCCAAAACTGGTGGTACCCTTGAGGGAGCACCACCCAGGCGTAGGGGTGGTGATGGTCAGGACTCATCCAACTTGGGCAAGTGGCAGGAGAACTTCGTATCATCACAAGGGCGGCAAGGCGGCGGGAGGTCTGGATACTCAGGCAGAGTTGGAGGCCCTGGAAGAGGTGGTGGTGGCTACCAGAGGGACAGGGGTAGTCAGGGTTCCCGTGGAGGCTATGGTGGTGGTTCGCGCTTCCAAGATGGGGGAAGGTCTCGCAACCAGTCTGGTTCTATGGCAAGAGGAGGTGATGGTGGTGCACGCATGGTGAGCCTGAACAGGTCTGGTAGAGGTTAGAGTAGTTCTCCAGGATAGTTCTCAGCGCAAAGTTTTGCAAGTTCTGAGTCACTGATCAAGTTTCTGGCATTTTGGAAGTCACATCTGTTCTGAAGCTATTCTTGATCTCTTAATTTCGTTACAGCTTACAGTTTAAATTTGTCGGACACTTGACAAAGAGCTCTCTGGTTTGTACCATGGGAGTGAGGACAGTATTCACTCCTACATTTGATATAATGCTGGCACTATTTTCTACTCTCATTGTACTGCTTTATTCTAAATTTGCCTTCTCGTGTTTCATGTGCATGTGATTCATTAGTCGGTTGGAAATTTCGATCGGAGCCGGGGGTAATGTAAATATGTGATTACGTTTGTTACGGTGCAATGAGCCATGGATCCTTTTGGTATTGAGTTCTTCTGTTGAAGATTACAAGAAGACGGTCCATGGCTGAACGCCTCAACCAATATTGTGATTTTCTTAGGGATTATTAATATAGTGATTTTGCATTTGGCAGTGGCAGCTGCACCAATGTTGTTATTCAGTAGATCTACTAGTTTCTTGTGCGTCTGTGAATAGATTGGAAGATTCTTGTTTTCTAGCTGAAACTGTGTGTAGCACCCCTTTTGTCTGTGTCACTCTCTGGCTCTGTGCATCTACCTGCTGATGGTTCATCGCCTGATTTTGCCTATGCACGTTTGGTTGTCTTTGCCTGAGAATTACATCACTTGATGCATCGATGTTTATTTAAATCTCTAGCAAAAGTACAGTAGGTTTATCAGTCTTTGGCCGTTGCATTGTACTCAGAATCTGAGATGCTGCTGCTGCGTTGCTGTAATTGCATACATTTTCTGACAGAAATTCCACTTTCTAGTGATCGATGAGAAGAATGCTGTTGATCAACGTCCATAAGATGTTGCTTTCGTCATTTATCAGCTTCAGGGCATTTGAGTTAAGCCTCGGATCCTACTGTAAAATGTGAATTATGAATTTATGAGCATGCTGCATGCATGTTATGAAGGAGCCACATCAACGAAATCACTCTCCAAAACCATTAAAAGAGTTAAATTATACCGAATTTAATAGTTAAGAGGATCGAGATATTAGATATTGCGATTCAAGGGTACAAATCGGATTAAGTCACTTAACATAGTTAAGGTAATCAAGATGGATTATTCCTTATTACGGAGCATCCATTATCTTGGTCCATGCAGATGAAACAATATCACCGTAACTCGTACGCTATCCTGCCCAATAAGTCACCATTTGTATGGGCTGATATTTTAGCCCATCCAGATGGGCTTATTGCTATAAATTACAGGCCCAGCTTCTAAACTTTACTGGATCAATTCTCACATAAATTTCGTCTAATTAACATCCGTGATGGTAAACATGACGATTTCACAGAGAAAAAAAAAAGGAGAAGAAAGGGTTACTGTTGCGTCTAGACAAAGTGATACTACATCTTTCAGCTTTGAATTTATCAACCTCTGTTGTCGTAACCCGACTTCTAAATATCTAATGAGTCGGTCAAAACTTACATTTGATTCAACGCAAATTGGTTCTCATGGGCTTTGAAAAAGTAATAGAGTTGAGCGGAATTAGGCACACACGCAGTCCACTAATTTCTTTTCGCCGTGCACGCGTTGTTATCTATCTATGGCGATATTTTGTTTTATTTTTTGACAATCATTTTAATCTTTCCACACCCCATTGACATATATAGAGTCTACAGAGTAACATTGTTGGCTGCTGACTGGTCTAAAAATACACCTATATGGAATGGTAAAATGGTAATTAAATCCTCTTTCCTTGCAAAAAAGTTTAAAATAATAATCTATCGTACTAGTGTAAAACTATTCAATAAATAAAACGTAGGCTACCATCAATATGTACAGTTACATACAGAAAGGCTAAATAAATAATAGGGGCGGTGGAATATTGTACCATCATAATGCCAATCAATGTTGTAGTAAATGCATCTAATAAATGTATGTTTCCAAAAAGAAAAGAAAGAAGCTCACATTGAAAACATAACATGTAAATTTAAGTACTCAATGTTTTTGGATGTTTAGAAGGTTAGTAATTGTAACCACATCCCGATGTTTTTGGATGGCTTCACTGTTTGGAGGCCCCCTCACAACTTTTTTTTATTTAGAGTGGAGATTTCCCTAGCTTACACTTCTAGTAATTCTTAGGAAAATCTCCGATTAAGCTTTTGAACACATTCTACTATTTGATTGGAACGACATCCAATAAAAATACCACATTCAGTGAGTATAACATACAGAGTACATGATAAGAAGAGAAATGATACGAAAAACGTCAACTCCTACGACACGGTACGGATGACGTTGCATCAAATGATTGCAAAGCGCCATAAGTATTTTAGTTAGGTGCAATAGTTGTTCCAATATAGTACCAGTCGCTTTGACAACAATATATCGAAACACCTACGGTTCAACCACATGTATTTGATGTGGTTTTATACCATGCGCTCAAAAAATTCTCTCTAATCTATGATGTATCGCTCGGAGATAGAGTTAAAAATAAATTGAAACCAACTCTTAAATCCGATCTATAGTATCTAAAAATCAACCGAATCTTTTCGTATCTTTTTATGATCCAGATATGTGCCACCTCCCCTAACCGGGCCAAACTCTTTACTCCAAGTCCAACCTGACGTGGGACCCACCTGTCATCGACTCCGCATAGCGTACGAGGAGAGGCAGGCAGAGCGAGGCGACCAACGCACATCTCCCTGGTCAACACGGATCCCCCGTCGCGGTCAACGGACGCGTCTCGAGAGTCCACCACCGAGTCCAACATACTAATCCCCAGATCCGACGGCCCGGATCCCTCCTCCCCTCAATCCGAGCCGTCCATCCCCCTCTTAACCCCCCCCACGAAAGAAAAAAAATATAAATCGAATTTAAGTCGAAACCCCACGCGTCCGCCGCTCCCACCACCCTCGTCTCTCCCCTCCACTTCGCGAGACCTCCAAAACCCTAGTTTCGTCGGCGATGGCGGCGGCGGCGGCGGCGGGGGCGGCGGCGGGTGGGGGGTTCGTTGGGGAGAGGAGGAAGCTGTTCGTGGGAGGGATCCCGACGTCGGCGCAGGAGGCGGAGCTGCGGGGCCACTTCGGGCAGTACGGGGCGGTGAGGTCGGTGATCGTGATGCGGGACAAGGAGACCGGGCATGGCCGGGGGTTCGGGTTCGTGGAGTTCGAGGAGGAGGAGGACGCCGCCAGGGCGCTCGGCGACGGGGAGCACCCCAGGCACCTCATCTGCGGCCGCGTCGTGAGTTTTTTTTTTTTTGCCTTTTTGGGACTGATTCGATCTACTACTCTTTGCTCACTTTGCTTTGCTTGCCCCCTCCCTCGTTTGTTTACTTATATGTGGTGGAGATTGGAGAATGCGCGGTGTGTGATTTGCCGTCGAAAGCTTGGAGCATGGTGTTTTTTTTTTTTGAAGATCTATTAATATTGGCGAAGTTGGTGGTAGCCTATTGCTTGGTCAATTTATTTATTTATTTTGCTTATTAATCTGGTAGTACCGTCATGCATGGGAGAAAATTCTTCGATTTCTTCGTATTCATGGCTAAATTGTAATTATGGACTGTTCTAAAAAAAATTGTAGTCAAGGAAAGCAACGTTACCCAGATTCTGTTAGTTGCCTCATCTTCAGTGTAGTTTGACTCGTTCGATGGGAAAAGTTTGTGGCTATGATGTTGATTGCACTATTAATTGATGTAAGTTTGGTGGTCCTTTTGCACAGGTTGATGTCAAGAGGGCTAGGGCAAGGCCTCAACGAAACCATGATGATCAATCTTCACAGCATCAGCACTTCGGACAGGGTCAGGATCAGGGTCACCAGCCAGCACCTGTGAGTGGTACAGAGGATGGCGGCGACGGCATGAACTATGCTTCGAAGAAGGTCTTTATTGGTGGTCTGCGGGACAACATCACTGAGGAGGAGTTCAAGACATATTTCGAGAGTTTTGGCACCGTAACAGATGTGGTAGTCATATATGACAGTATGACAAACAGGTCTAGGGGGTTTGGTTTCGTCACCTTTGACTCAGAGGAAGCGGTGAGGAAGGTGATAGAACACAGTTTTCATGACTTGAAAGGAACAAGGGTAGAAGCCAAGATTGCCATCCCCAAGGATGCTTCGTATTACCGTAATGGCAGAGGTCGTGGCTCAAGAAACTTTGGTGGAAGGGGTCATGCTGGTTTTGATGGTCCCTCGTACCAACCATACAATGACAGATATGGTTTCTACAACAGCTATAATATGCCTCAACCTGTTCCACCACATCCCTACTATCCTGGTGTATATTATGGTATGGGAGGAGGTTATCCCTATGCGAATGCATATTCAAACATGGGAGCCCCTGCTAATATTCCTCCAGGCATGATGACAAGGCGTCCAGTTTATGGTGCATATCCTCCAATGTTTCCAGGGTACGGCGTTATATATAGAGGTTATGTGGGTGCTGCACCCTCTATTCAGCATGATAGTAATGGTGGGAGCGATAGCAAAAAGGATCAAACTTCAGTAGATGTACAAGAAGTTGACAGTGCTGCTTCCGTTGCAACAAAACTTGAGTTTATGAAGCTAGGGTCACAATGACTTTCTGGTGAGTTCTAAAAACCCTCAGATTTAATCTTTTATCCTAGCCACACATGAAAACTAATCTTATTTAATTATCCATGAAGAACTATGATTATTCAAATAGTTGTTAAATGATTGCTGCTAGGTACTTCAATTGTTAAACTATGACTATTCAATCATAAATTATTAGTTGTGAGGTTTTAGTGACTTCCTGGTGATTTTGTGTTAATATGATGCATAGCCTCCAATCTATATAGCTTGTTTTGATTCCTTGATTGTTCTTTGTCGATAGCTAATTATGCACTATATGCCCAATTAGCTAAACATTGGGAACCTGTAACATATTCCAGATACTGTATACTTATGCAAAGTGCGTGGAATAAGTTTAATGCCAGACTCTAGCTTAGCATTCTACCCTTTGAAACAAAACGGATGGATTTTTTTGTTGCATACCATGCCAGATGGTCATGGATGTGGCTGTGCTGGTGTCTAGTTTATTTGATTAGAATACAGCAGCTATGTATTTTTTTAGTACAATGACAGCACTAGCTAGACACCAAAGTCCAGTACAACAATAGCAAGAACTAAACTGCGATCATTATATCCGATTAAACCTGTGCTTAATTAAATGCATTGAAAAACTGAAGATTAATGTTGATTCATCACATGTCAATTGAGTAATATGTCCTACAATGAGTTGAGTGAAATGTATAGCTTGAAAGCTTGTGCTAGGATTTTGTTCCTTGAAATCCATTGCCACTTGTGAGTAGTTCATGCTTAAATTCGGTATATCCCGAAATCAGTGTTCTTCCCCAATATTACAAGTATGGTCTATGCTAGTAATTATATCTTTAGTGTATACATCATGATACCTCACAATAAAATATGGAACATGGGAGTTATTTTTATTTTTATGCATCTATGCTGATCAGCATTGATCTCTTTTGTGCTTAAACGAATGAATCCTTATTACTTGAAATTTAGAACTAAACAAAGATGTAAGCTCATGTTATTGACTGAATGTATTATCCCAACTGCCAAGGTTTTGGGCAAGTTTGCTGTTTTACAGTTTTTAAGGCTGTTTAAGTACCATTTTAATCAAGGTTATTAATTTCCTAGTATTAGTTTGTGTTGCTTAGCATTTTTCTATTTTCTATCTATTATGCCTCTACACCACTTGCATAGTACATAGTGCTTTGTAGCAGTTCTTAACACAGGGTTAACAGTTTAAGGCTGTAGAAACCTAGTTCCATGGGTTTACCCAGATCAGGGTTATGTTTTGGCCTGGCCTGTCTGGCTGCCTGCCTTTCTAAGTTTCTATGTGAATTTCCACTGCATGCATGGTGGTTTGGCAAACTGAGTTTGAACAAGTTTGTTCAGCAATATTAGTAGTATTTGGCTTGTTTGCTTGTTCTTATTTCCAGTTATCATGTCCACCGAACCTGTATTCTCTTCATTGTGAAAATATCCAGTTGTTATCCTTTTTAAGATTTACATATAGTCCAATCTATATATTCGTTAAAGAGGGCAATCTGTTTATTCTTCTCAATTTATGAAGTCTACTGTACCTAATCCAGTTGTTATCCTTTTAAAGAATTACATATTCTCCAATCTATGTTCAATCAATTTGTGAATAATCTACTGTACTGAATTGGTGTCCTTCATAATTATTATGTTTATTTGGTGTTGATGCTCCTATGAACTATTTGCTTGTTTTCTTTTTGAGACAGGACAAATTACTTCTAAATTGATGACACCAGAGTTCGACATTTTGGGAACCCTCAATTGTGAAGACTTGAGCTGAGATTCTTTGGTTGACAAGTACATCATTGGAATTCAACTTACCCACCCTCATTCCTTGCTTCATCTGCCTGTACACTGAAAACGTGCAAGTTGACCTCACTGCTTCTTGTACCGATGTTTAAATTCTTTGTTGATTTAATGTACCAGGATCAGAACATCCAATCCTAATTGCTTGTGCTATCTCGTTTTTGTGTCACTATATTATCCTGTTTTACCTGTATTGTCTGTCTGCGTGTTGTATGCATAATTGGTGAGAGTTGGTGCAGCAGTACCAGAATCAGCTGTTGTGAATTGGTGAGAGTCTGTGCAGCATCTTGTTGGTTGTTGGCAAGCAAAATGAAGAATCCATGTGGTGGTCCATTGCAATCTCCACACATCCAGTGGATACATTGATGTTCCTATTGTGCAAAAGGGAGATGTTTCTGTCAAGCTCTCTTGGTTTGGTTTTGTTTGATGTGCAATGGAGGATACATGCTGCTGCAGGCATTTGTAGTAACAGCCAGCAGTTCCAGGTCCATCACTAGTACTACAAAGTTGTAGTAGGGGTTTGCTTGTAGGCATGTGAAGGCCCACAGAAGAAGGCCACAGCTGCTGCTCATGCTCTCACAAACAAAAGACCCAACCAGGGGAGGAAGGAATGACCCCTTGTCATTCTCTGTCCCTTTGGCGTCGTCCTGATGTGTGCATGCATACATGGAGGAATTGAATTGAAGCTTTTTTCCCCTTCATTCATCACAAGCTCCTTTCATACCCATGGTACCCTACTACTAGATAGATATAGGTAGGGATAGGATATAGGATTGGATGGATGGATGGATGCTTTGAGATAGAAAGATGTGAGGGATGCTTGATAGATGTTTGACACTGTAATGTCCATATTCAAGGGGGTGTGTGTTTGTGTAGGAGTATTGCCTTGTTTGAAATGACACCATAATATTTAGTGCATCTTAGGTGTGCCAAGCAACTTGATTGATTGGAACTTTGGAGTCCCTTTTGGTTAATAGTTACTACACTACACCTGCCTTTCCATATTTTTTTTTCTTCCTTTCCTTTAGGACAAGTCTCATTCTTGCAGAGGTGAAGCTTCTTTGGAGATGGCAAGCTTGGACACAAGCTGCAAACAGGGGATGGCCACAAGCCCACTCACCTCTCTTGTGTCACCACTCCAAAGGTTAATATTCCCTCTTCTTTTGATGCCAGTTTGGTAGGGTAAGTTCGAAGAGGAGATGCAAAAAAAAAAAAAAAGAAGGAATATGTGGGGAGCAAATGTTTGTTTTGCTCTCCATGCAGGGCAACTGCATCAATCTTTTCAGAAGTTGTAGGGTTAAGCATCATCGATAGCAAATGTGCTTGCCTTTACTTTCTTGAGAGAAAAAAGTGCACACATTAACTATGACTATGAGTATTACATGCAGTAAGCCCTTTTGTACATTTTGAGAATGTGAGAGTGGTTTTGACTGTTAACACTCACCCTCAATCAAGTACACACAAAACAGCATATGAAGGTGTATTTACACTCTGAATAATCCCCATGGTCAAAGAACCTTTTCATCATCAGAAGGCCTCTATGATATTCTGAAGCTCCTGAAGGACATGAGCAAGCATAATCACCTTGTCAGAATCAGAAATGAAAGACTTACTGCATGCAGACAGAAGCTTTAGTTAGCAAGCTTGGATCATAAATCTGCTTTCCTATAAAGCTCATATTTGCAGAATTTAAAGATACCGGCAATATGGCCAGTACTCAGGAACATGTTATTATTGATGGAAATCATGATACTACTGTCACTTTCCTTAGCTTCTGCATAACATTCCACTTTAGCTTTCAGCTACACTAAACCTGCAACTAGTTGACAAATGCAGAGGATCATGCACTCGTATCATCATATGCTTGCTTTTTGAATGGAAAATTAGCTACTAATAAATCCACCACTGTTTGAGACAGCGACTCGTCAATGTAGAAGGTACACTGCATATATAAGTGCATACTGCATCAACAACATTGCTGGAGACCAGGTCTCTTCTGGTTTCAGATAAAAATGAATTGATAAAACAAGCTAGGAATAGGGATGCATGGCCATCAAATGAGCCCCAGGCATGTTACATTTTCCAGTGAAATATCATGTGTCCATGCAGTGGCCTCTCTGCCACTCTTATCTCCATCAGCATGCAGCAGCATCTTTTGAGCAGTATATATACACAGTTTTTGTCCTCAACTAGAAACTCTGATACAGCCTGCTGGGAATTAATTGACAAATGTACAAGGCAACCTACTGTTTCTCCTTGGCAGCTTCAGCCAACGTTTTTTTTTTCTTTTCCTTTCTCTTTTCAATGTTCAGAACAAAATTTTGAACAGCTTTGAGCTCTTCTTTCTCCATTGTTTGTTTCTTTTTGACCACATATAACTACAGTAGAGTTGCTCTCTAGTTGTGTTCATTCACAAGAACCTTTGATTAGTGTACCATCTAATTCAAGTGTAATTCCTTAATTAGTTAGTTTGGCATCAAATTAAAGAACTTGAAGATGGCTGGTTGATCATGAAATAGTCATTAATATAGTGTCCACTATATTGTTCATGCACGAACCAATCCTTAATATAGTGGAATTAAAGAACTACATTATTCATGCATGAACAATATATATACTGTCTTTTCAAAAACAATATATATACTGGACAAAACTGAACTGCCTCAAATCAGCTTTTGCCTAATTGTGGAGTATACTGATGCAGAAATTCAGAGCCCTCAGGAAAAAAGTCATGTAAAATGTGGGGGATATCTTGGTTGAGAGTGCTTGGCAGGAGAACAAAATCTAGTGGCATGGGAACTAGACCTCTCTCCTTCCTTCCTTGTAGGCCATTGCCATGCATCTTTCTTTTCTACTATCTCTCTCTGTATGTATATCTTTCTCTGATCTTTGGCTTGAACAATATGGATTAGATACTAGAGCTAGATACTTAGACAGGCCATGCATTCAGGGGAAAAGCAAATTACAAAATGAAGAAGAAGAAAGAAAAGAAGAAAAGAGAAAGGCATTGCATTGCATAAGGAACCAAAGTGAGTTAATAATTCTCATCAGCCTTGCATTGCATGTAGCTGCAGCAGCTCAGCTGCAATGCAATGCAAATGGGGTCCCTAAACCTAAAGGGTACTCTGTTACTTTTGCATTCATCTCTCTTCATCTCTCTCTGTGATTTTTTTCTCTCTGAATTCTGCTGCTGCTGCCTTGTTGCCTGCCATCTTTTATCAGAATGGGGAATGTGGAGGCATGCATTGCACAGTACTGGCTAGTGTGTTTCTGTGTGTCCATCCTTTGCAAGCAGGGTGAACCCCACTCACCACATGCCATTTTGCTCTCCTCTTCTTTGTTTGATCCTCCTCTCTTCTCTCTACTACTACTACTCTGCATGCAATGCAGACTTCTTTTTTTTGCCAGAATTAGTGCTCTTAGGCATGTCCATTTCTGCTTAACCCTAACCAACCCCCCTTTGTTGCCCAGTTCCATCAGCCACTAGCATCCTGCCATCTGCAACTACCTCCTCTCTTCTCTTGTCATGTATCAATGCATCATCATGCATTGGACATTTGATAGATAGTTTGCTAAGTAGTTTGTGTTAGTGACTAGCATGATGTTGCCATGAATTAATTTTTTTAGTACTAGTAGTTGACTAATAGTACCAAACATATATAAAGCTTAATTAATGCAATCATCATGAGTCATGAGTTGTCAACTTAATGACTAATGTTGTTGTTGTTGTTGTTGTTGTTGTTGCTGCATGCTAATTATAAACTGAAGATTAAAGTGCGTGTATGCTGAAAGTTCAGAATCTATGTAAAACATGGTCCAAAAGTTCAGTGTAGGATTGAAAATGGATTTGGCTCCAAAGTTAGAGGGACCATTTGCTTGCAGGGCTTTTACATGCATACATACACACACAAATGCATGCTATGATCTTCTGCCATATATGCACATCCCCATTGGTTGTTATTACAAGATATTCGCTGTCCTGGCCGATAGTACTGATCATGGCACTACTGGTAAACGTTTGCATGTTCCTCCTACAAAACAAAAGAGGAGGAGGCACAAACATACACAAGAAATTGAATGCAAAACGCATTCTTCCTCCCCCTTATAGCCTGTCTGTCTCTGCTTCAATTATGCTCTTCAAACTGGACCACATTTTATGCAAATGCAACAAATGGTGGTCTGGTGAAGGCTGGGATGAATTCAGATTCAGGGCCAGGGCAGGCAGGCAGGCAAAGCCCCAAGAATGTGGTTTTGCATGCACATGTATATAATTAAGACATTATGTGTGTATGAATGAGCATCTATCTGGTGAGCTCTCTCTCAGCTTCTGTGCAATTGCAGGATTGCAGGTGCATGCAGTGGTCAGTGAGTGGTAGCCCAGCTGATGATCAGAGAGGTAGCTAGCTAAAACTAACAGCATCATGTATAGCTAGGATTACAGCTATAGCCATGCATGTGTGTGTGTGAGAGAGATCTGAATTCTGAACTCTGAATTTAAGTGTCCTAGCTCATAGAAAGGACACCGTTGGATACCACACACCCTTCACAGATGGATCCAAGATTCATATATACTGTCATGTTGATTATACTTGAGAAAAAACATCCATATCTAGCAAATTATGGAACTAAATAAACTTAATTAACCAGTTCATCAGTTCAGTTATCTCTCCCAAAAAGAGAAGTTCAGAGTATTAGACATGTTGTCCATCTTTGATGCACATATACATATATGGATCCAAGGCTCTCAACAAACAAATTATTAGCTCATTATTACTGTTATTCAGTATTTTTGGGGGCATGGTAGCAACTAGTGTTTGTGTTTGGTTACCTGACAAGAGACATAAAGAAAACAGAGAGGAAGAGAAGCTAAGGGAGGGGCAAGGCAACATTTCCAACAGCTAGCTGTTGTGCAGTGCAGTCATGTATAGTTACTATCCAAGGCCCCCTTTCAGTACACTTCTCTTTGGTTGGGCACTTGGGCAGCATGTACTACTACTGCTTAATTTTATTTCTTTCCTCTTTCTTTCTTTTCTCTAGCTTAGCTGCTACTCTCTCTCTCTCTCTCTCTCTCTGTGCACTGCACACTCACACAGAGACAGACAAGCAGAGATAGAGAGAGAGGTTGTGAGATGTAGTAAAATGAATCTAGCTTAGATTTTGTTTGGATCTTGT